GTCCACTGAACTATCAAAACATATTATTCCTGTATTATTATCCCCATAAAAGCACTTTTCCTCTTTATTTTACCTCATAGGTATATGGGGTATATGCCTATTAATTTTCTATATGTAGGACTAGGATGCCTCAAAGGCAAATCAGTTTCCACTTTCCTCTGCTGACCATGCAGAAGCACCCAGGTCAGGACCTTCAATATTCACCAGGCCACGTGTCTTGTTACACAGGGACAGAATCCATCACTTCTGAAAAGAGGAGATGATGTTGGAAAGTGGAGGGGCCTCAAAATGTGCCCATTATTCTCGTCTGTTCAAATTGCAACTTAAGTGCTTACAAATTGATCAAATGCTTTCAGCAAGCTATGAAAAGGGCTTCATTCTAGGGAACATTAATCTGAATCTCAGACTCAATTTCCTCCTCTGCTACAGATGTCCTGTATGACCTTCGATGAGTGACTCTTTCTGTGCCTCAGTTCCTCATTGTTAAAATGGGCTACTAATAACATTTCCTAAAACGTTCTGTGAGGATAAACAATGACTATGATATGATATGGTCAGGCATTAGCACATAAAGGGAATGGATAAGAATCTCAGATTTTACAGGAATATTCCTGCCAGAAAAATTTTGAGCAGTTCCAATCAGTGTTCAGATAGTATCTGATGTCTGCCATGTTCACTATGGGTCAGTTACTGGCATGACAGTTTAAATAAACAATTCTAACCAAGCAACCTGTAGATAATTTTTGAAACAAGAAAATTTATATGTAGTCAAAATGTAGTCATAGTACTAGATATCCTGATACAGATTATCATTTACAGACATTCTGTCTTAATCATTATTGACTCTCTTTTCTCATCTTCAAAAGCAAGCTAGTGCTTTAAAATCCAGGAGAGGGCTTTTATGTATGTGGCCAAATCCATACAACTGTAAAGATGAAAATAAGAGTCATATAAGGCCTTTATCAGCTGACTGAAATTCCATGGTCTTCAGCAGAGCTGCAGATGGAGATGGATTAACCTGATCCTAGATGAGAGAAAGGTGCAGCTCTTGGCTGCAGAGAGAGACATGTTTTCCCTTTATATCCAGCCCTTCTGCCTTCCCCAGGAGAAGTTAAAGATTGATTTTGGTTTGTGGTTGTAATGTGTCAGTATTTCCACTAGCATGGCAGTCTGCAGGTTTGTTAAAAATACTTGGAAAATGGCTCTGTTAGCAATCCTAGGAATCATTCTTTAAAACAACTACTATCAGTCTTGCAGACTGAGTCTCAATATCTGTTCAGTTCAAAGTGTGCAGAGTATTTTGTAACCAGGCCAAAATTTTGGAAGTAACATAAACATATGTAATGTCTCAGCTTTGCTAAATTTAAACCAATGCTGTTAGGTTCAAGAAACTGTGATATGGCAACCTCAGCTTTAATAGTACTAGCAGGCATAGAAAATGGTTGCTTTTATTTGTCTCAGTCATCCTGCAGCATCACAGGTCACTCATTCTCTGACAAGAAGTTCCAAAAATTCCAGTGAATGGAGAATGTTCACACATAAAACTCGGTTGCTATTTCTGTAAAATAACTATTACAGTAGCTAACTATATATAGCCAGAAGTAATTGCTTCTGTAAATAAAATACCAGTGAACACATTACAAGATTAAAGAGAAACTTTGAGCTTCCATCACAGCTATTTGCCGACTCTCACCCATATACACACAATGACTTTGCAGTCATAGCTCTGCAGTGCCTCAAGACCTAATTTAGGATATGTGTAGCATATTACACTTCCTCACATTCCTAAATAAAGTACTCTTCCATTAGCTGCTTTGTTCTTATTTTAGCTGACCACTTCACCTTTCACTAGTCATTTCACCAAATAAACTGCAATTCAATTTTTTGTTAGTCTTATTTTACAGTTAGGATTTATACAGGCTTTAGGGGATCGTGGGGGTCTGGATGTATTTTTTAGACAATATTTATTAATTTGAGACTATTTAAAAATAGTCTCTTTCAAATGGCAGTTGTAGGTAGTAAAAGTGAGATAGATGAATTGATGGAAGATCAGATCAGAAGTGATGTATTTTAACAAATGTGTCATCAGTCTTTGAGAGTGAAGGTGATATTAAATAGCTTGAATACCACGCTGCTATAGGAAGGGACACTTTAAATACTTTGAAGGTAGGTTTACAGTGATCTCTGCCATTCAGTGAAGGAGAAGAGTTATTGCCCAGAAACTATGGGGGTTTTGCTCACTACTGCTGGTAAAACTAGAAAGCCTGCTGTTCATCCTTTAATCCCTACCTTTTTTTGGTAGGGATTTAACAAGTTCACAACTGAGAAGTATAGAAGGCACCTATGTAAGAGTTTGAAAGTCTCTTACTTTTTTTATTTCCTAGTCTGACATTATCTAGACAAATCTGGTTTGTATGTGGACCTTTCAGAAGAAGAGAATTCTATTCCTATGAAATACTTTTTGCTGACTTGGTCCTTACTGTTGCATCTATAATATCATAAGATCTGGGAGCTGCTGTGAGGGAGCAAAATCCTGACAAGCTATAGACAGAAGAAAAGCAGACTGGTATTTCTTGTATTTGTAGGTGTCACAGGAAAGGAGAGCTTTGAGCCTGAAGCCAAATGGGCAGATGGGTAGGTGCCTTCAGGGAGCTACTAGACATAAGGACAGCATAGGCAAAACTCTTCTGTACTTGAATTAAAACATAAGAAAGGAGTTTTTCCTTCTTCTAAGAGTCAGCGATCAGAGAAGGGTGTTGACATTTTGTTAGGAAGGAGCCATTGTAGGCAGTGTGGGGACAGGCTGCGTGGGAACCTGAAAGTGAAAACCAACAGCGTGAGTTTATGTGAACAGGGATAAATAAGAGCAACCAGTATGTTGTTTTAGGCAAAAACCTACACAAATCCTTACAAGATTCTGAATGAATAGGAGCGGTGCCGGAATACATCTGTCATAACTGAAAAAGCAGGCTGATGCTCCATTATATCTTGGACAGGCTGTGATTGAAGATTTCACTGTGGAAAAGATCTGCAAGACAAATTCTGAAGATAATTCAGAGTAGAAGTTGACGCCTGTTATTAGACCTGACAGTAGTGTGACAGGAAAGCAGATAACAAGAAAGAATCACTATGGGAAACAAAATTGTATTAACTTGTTTGTTTTGTCTCTTTGTATTTTAATGTTTGCAGCAATTCAACATCAGCTCCCCCAAAAATGGAGATATTTGTGTTCTCAACTTGTTGTCAAACAAAACGACATCAAGCAACAACCCATACTTCAGCAGTGTTGCTTCTGCAACAGAAATAAATGCTGTTGACGGGCAATAACCCAGTGTCACAAAACTATCTCAGTCATACCGAGGATATCAAAGAGTACTCCCACTACTCCCCCCTTATGTACCTAGCTGGAACTCTTTTGCCCAGTTTGAGAAACATTTTTCCATAAGGTGTCTTGTGAAAAACATGGAATTGGAATGTTGAAAGAGAAACACAAAGATGCAGGTCCCAGTGCTTAGCCCATTAAAGGAGGTACTGAGTGAGTTTCATGTGGAGTTTGGAAGCGCCTTCCATAGAACCAAATAAATATTGGTTTGCCCTCCTAAGAGAGCTTCGGGATGCTGTCTTGTAAAGCAGGATATGGGCAGGTATGTTGAACAGCCAACAGGTCCAGGGAAGTGATTCTTCCCCTGTACTCAGCGTTGGTGAGGCCACACCTCGAGTACTGCGTCCAGTTCTGGACCCCTCAGTTCAGGAAGGATATGGAGGTGCTGGAGTAGGTCCAGAGAAGAGCAACGAGGGTGGTGAAGGGACTTGAGCACAAGTCCTGTGAGGAGAGGCTGAGGGAGATGGGGTTGTTCAGCCTGGAGAAGAGGAGGCTCAGGGGAGACCTCATCACTCTCTACAACTCCCTGAGAGGAGGTTGTAGCCAGGTGGAGGTTGATCTCTTCTCCCAGGCAGCTATAAGTAAGACAAGAGGGCATAGTCTTAAGCTCTGCCAGGGGAGGTTTATGTTGGATATTAGGAAGAAATCCTTTACAGAGAGGGTAATCAGGCACTGGAATGGGCTGCCCAGGGAAGTGGTAGATTCTCCGTCCCTGGAGGTTTTTAAGATGAGCCTGGATGTGGCACTTAGTGCCATGGTCTAGTAACTACTGTGGTATTGGATCAAGGGTTGGACTCGATGACCTCAGAGGTCGTTTCCAACCTTGCTGATTCTATAAAAAACCAAAACCAAACAGCTGTTTGAAGGACAAATCTAGAGAACAGGCCTACCCAGGACAATTCTCAGGAACATGTATACTTCACTCATGCACTGTAAATCAATCTTGTATTTCCCATGTATTGAGGATGGAGCATTTGTGCCTTTCCAGCACAATAACTGACTGCTGCTTAGTCCCCCCTATCTTCAGCTGAAGCTCCCTAAACTCGCTTATGTCAAATGGAGAACCAGTTCAGACAATGTTATATGCACATGTCCTTTTTAAATCTGAAGCACTTTGCTGAAGTTACAGATGCATTTTTAACCTGAACATATCCTTCACTGCATAGCCTCATGGCTTCTGAACAGCTGTGATAGGAATACAGGTTGTCTCCTGAGGTAAATAAGCGCTCACCTGCTAAGCTGGGAAAAGAATCTCTATAAAGGGTATTTCAGACAGCTTGCAATAAATATGTTATCATCCACTTCATGTAATCCACTAATAATAAAGAAAGAGAAAACCATCCACATTTTATTTTCCACATGGTGATGCACTGTCCTTATGGAAAGAGGCGAGTGGCAACATGTCACAGCCTGCCAACTTCAAACACTGTTCTGAATGCTGTCTCTCATCAGTGGACTTGTATTCTCAAAGTAAGGAGTATTAGGTTTCAGTGAAAGACCTGAACTGTTCCATTAATGACCTGATGGATGAGGTAAGATTCAGTGGTTTTTTTTACTCAAAGCCAGACTTGAAATATTTGAACTGCCTCTCATTTCTGCTTGTCTGTTTTCCTGATAGATATTCATGTGGATCCAATCATCAGATAAATTTCTGAATCAGCAGAAGACATCTGAACTTTTTCCCAAAATACATAATATAGGTAAGTATTTGAATCCATTGTATCTCAGTACCGTGCTGTAGCTTTACAAATGCTAAGTAAAATGGGGGCTTTGCCTCATGATCTTGGCATCATCATCCTTAGACACCAGAACTTTAACATTTAGATATCTCAGTGTGTTTGAAACTGTCAGTTTCCATCCTTTTAGAGACAGAAGAAAAAGAAACCTAGACAAAGTTTTCTTGAGGAAAACTCATTTTAAACTCAAAACTTTAAATAAATAAACTAATTTTTCCAGGCTTATCATTTCTTAGATCACACCAAACTAAAAACAAAAAACACCCTAAAACAAACTAGATGTGATGTTTCTGTCCTCTGACATTATTGAAATATTCAGGCATAAAATATGCTACTGAAATGTCTGAAAAAGGTTATGTTATTAATCCACACATAATTTAGAAATGTTTGGAATTATATTACCCAAACTTTTATATAAAAAAAAAATTAGGCAAAACTAGAAAAGTTTGAGTCAAAAATAAGTATTTTGTAAAGTTACGAATACGTTGGCACAAGCTATGAAAAATGTACTAGAATTATAGATTAAATTACTTTGATTAAACTGGATAATAGCTGGGTTTTTTGATAATAAATACTTGTTAGTTATAAGACCTTATTACAGTTTTTAACCTAATTGCTAATGTCCCTTTCCTTCCTCTCTCCCTTAAGACTCCTTACTGCAGATTGCAGCTTTCTCTCTTTTGGAGCATGTGTAAGAGAATTCCATATGTTGAAGGAAGAGGTACATAAAGGAACTGCTCCTTTAATTTATAAATATGAGTTTGTCCTAATAAATAAAGTGGCAACATTTCTCCCCAGGTTAAATCTAGTGTAAAAAATTCAAATACAAACTGGAGCACAAAGGCACAAAACAGAAATCTTATTACTTTGAAAAGGATACAAAGATATGTCAATGTCAATATAAACAAACAGCTTGAAACAAATGGTGGAAAACAAAACTGAAGCAATGATGTACTACATTATATGAATAAATATATACTTTTAACTATTTATTTTATGAAAAATGAAGGTATAGGGACTGTGATATCTACAAAAATAGTAGAGTTATTCAAAAGCAGAAAAGTTAGTATTTTCTCTATGCTGCTTTTTTAAGCATCACACCTAGACCTCTAGATGCAGTCTAGGTCTCTTCCCCTAGGGATAGGTGAAGGATACTGGATTTCCCAGACTCAGATAGAATGTTAAAACCATGGATATTGAAAATCTCTCAAGAGACTCCTTCAATTATATTAATACTAGAGATGGGAAACATTTTTCTTGAATAATACTTCAGAAAAATGCCATGTCCTTATAATTATGATATATATCTTCATCAAATTATTTTGACAATTATGATCAAAACTAACAAAAAAAAACCTTCCATGGCTTCATTAATATTTTTTTTCAAAGAGGCACTGTAACTAATCTAATTTTAACTTTTTAATTAACATTGAGACTACCTGGAAAAAAACGCTCTTATAACTTCTCCTATCTTGGATTTATTAAGAGTTGGCAGCCCTACATTTGATTCCTTTGGATTGGTTACCTATTTGACTTTACAAGAGCACCATCAGGGCAACTATACCTCTACTAGTTTATTTAAATTCAGATAACAAGAAATAACTGTAATCATATGAGACTTAGATGAAGGCAGTCAATTCTCACAAATTTCTTTTGGAGTGTCTGCTTTCCTTAAAAACAGTTAAAAAAACAAACAACCAAACAGAAAAACCCCAAAACCCAATAACCAAACAAACTGGTTTTCATATGAAAACTTTAAATTCTATGATGGATTATTTTCAGTTGACAACTAGATTGGTTTCAGATACTGAAAATTTGTAGTCTATAGTACTTTCTTTTTTGCCCGAAATTACCTGATATGTCCAAAAGCAGAAATATTTATGATAAAAGATATCTTTAAAAAGTTATTTGCTAAACATAGATAAATTTAGAGGCATTTTTTAATTTATCTAGATAAAATTAAAACAAAACACCTGTTGTTTTCTTTGATTTGCATGAGGAAGAAAACCTGTTTTCCAGTCAGATAAAATATGATTTTTCTCTGCCTATATAGAATAGCTATCATATCCTAAAATAAAAGTATGAAAGTGAAGAGGGTGCTTTGAGGATAGATGTGTGAAAGTTTTGTAGATAGCTATGAGGTTACAGAGGTATAATTACTAATTATGTAGCACCGATTCAGACACGTTGTGCTTTGCTCAGGCTCATATATATTACCTGCATGTAATGGTAGTGGATCATGCCCTGTCTTGCTGTAAGTGTTCTGCTTCGTGGAATCACATCTTTTGCTTTCTGCCCCTCTTGTGCTGTGTTAGAAGTAACTGAAATTACACTGAAGGAAGACATTCTTTGCATTATTGAGAGCTTCTACAACCTGGAACAGAAAGGACTAAGAAAAAGAGATGAAGCCCTTAGCTGGAAATACAGTGAGGTGGATATGTTTTAGGCATGTAAATGCAGAAGAAAAATGGAGTACTACAGACTTAGAACCACACCCACAAACATTAAAAGGAGAAAGAAAAGTAAAATAAACTGTGGAGGAGTAATTATGGCCTGCTAAGCCTTTGTGCCTTTATTCTGTTTGTGAACTTTAAAGTCATGAGTGAGTCATGGCAGTTTAGTGGTCAACTGTTTTCTATTCTGTGTTTGCCAATAGAGGCCCATTAGGCATCAGCTCATGGGAAAGCCATCTCTGTCAGTCCACACCTCAAAGGTTTCACCCAGCATTGACTCCCTTCCTTCCCTTATGAGAAGTCTGTTGGAGCAACAACCATTTCTGGACTGTCCGTGTCTTTAAAAAGTTGAAAACTGCCACCTATACTAGAAAATGAAACTAGGCTTTTGCAACTTCAGAGACATAAATATCAATACTTGTGTAGCTGTGTACTACATTTCAGTTCTCCAAAGACATGTGCAGGAATAAGTCTACTGAAGAGTCCTGAATCCTGACATTTCAAATTGTACAGTGTTATTCACAAACATGCCTTTTTGAGCTTTGGCCATCATTATAACTTATCAATAAAGCCAGTAAAAAATACAGCTCAGCACGTCCTACATGTCCTGAGTAGCAATACTGCAAATACTGTAAATTGTTACATCACACCTTTATTCTGCCTTAGTTTATCAGTTTTAAAATGTTTCACTACTTAAATACTATCATGGGAAAAGGCTAGAGGAAAGCTGTAGGAATAACAAGATACCAGTTTTATTAATGACTCTTTTAATGACTTTAAGCAGGTGATAAAGAATAAATTCTCAAAACTGTCCACTTAACTTGAGATACCCAAAATATCTCTAGTCAGATATTTTACAATTAAAGCACTCAAAACTCAGAGGCACTCCCAAAATGTAGCCCTTTAATCATTCTCTTTCTCATTCATCTACATTGTGAAGTTGTGATAATACCTACTTCTGAAAAGCCTGTTCTTTTTACATTCCATTGATACTACTGAACCGATGCATAATTTAAAATAATCAAAAAAATTAGCAGAAGTTGGTAACAATAGTTACACCTTGGGCATACTTATTACTCCACTGCAGCTTATCAACTGTGAAATGAGTTTGCCTTGGAGTATCACATATATTAGTGACAGATGCTTCAAATCCTGGGTAAGACAGTAGGATGAATCCTAGCAATGCTTCAATAAAGTGCATACATACTGCCAATCTTCTCTGTAACCTTACTACATCCAGTGATGGCCAGGCCTGTAAATAGCAAGTTGTCCAGACTTGGAGTTTCCCTTATGCTTTTTCAAATTTCTTGTGGTGTTCTCATACTAAATAGATCAGCAGAACAGTAAGCCCTTCTAGCCTGTTCTTCTGGATGCTGTATCCTGCCGTATGTTGTATGGCTTGCACTCCTGCAGTGTATGAGAAAGCAGAGAGTCAATTCTGTTTCCTGGATGCAAACACATTCAGATCCCTCAGAGTTTCTTTTAGGGAAGTCCACCTCAAATTAAGAACAGTTTTCAGAAGCAACAATACTTTGGTACTCTATGGAAAGAAAGAAAAACAGCAAAAGCTAACAGGAGTATGGATAATTGACAACTGACCCCAAAATACAGTCTGTGGGTCTGTGACAACCCAAGGACCAGCTTTCCTGTCATGAAAGGAATCACATTAAGAATTAGACTACACTTGCTTCTTGCCTGAAATTGCTTATGTGGTAGAGAAGGAAGGAGGGAAAAGTACCTGTCCTTGTTTGGTTTTTGATGCAATACAAAATAATGCACTCAAGCAGCATACATACTGTGGGGGTTTTTTTCTGCATGCTGTTCAAGAAAGCAACAGCCTGGAAAGGCAAGACTGACCTTCATGTTCCTGTCCTCTTCTGGTCCTGATGAAGAGAGTGAACTGTACTCTCAGGAAAAAAATCTTCCAAGGCTTGCCCAGAGTTCGTGGAGAGGCTGATCTAGGGAAAGGGGCTCTCTCTTGCATCCTGATCCGTTCCAGAATTCTTTCCTTGTCACTCTGTCCCAAAATTGCTTCCAGCAAGGATAATCTAACCATTGAGTCTGAATATCAGTGCACTCCTTCTATAGTCCTGAGCAATGCCAAGTAACTCCAGGTTTCCCTGCCCCAGAAAACTGTTGTAAATTCTCAAGATGAGGGCTGATAAACCCATCAGAGCTGGGTTTTACCCTTCACAAGTTTCTCCAGCAACTCCACATATAGAATAGCAACAATCCTGCAAATGGCAAACCCACAGTGAATGCTGCCAGAGTACTCATGTGAAGGCAGGGAGGAGACATGGGCAAGACCAAGTGGAAGCCTATTTTCATATTCAGGATATGTATCCACTATAGAAGTACTGCTGTATTTTACCAGAGAGACATACAGTGCTAAAGCTTTTTATATCAATAAAATAAAATTGCCATCCACAAGCAATAAAATATTAAATAAAAAACCTGACAGTGGTGAGAGTCCCTGGCACAGCTGTGTTTGTCTGGGATCATACTGCTCGACAGCCCTGCCTAACAGCCAGAAATCTCTAGCCTAGAAGTGACCTAAGCATATGTTCTGCAACTGGTGGTATGTTTTTGTAGCCCATGCAGATATGCTTAAACTAGCTGTGATCTATCTAGCTCAGATAAGAACTGCTAGGAAGGTATGATATCATGGTTTTCAGTCTTGGCTAGCAAACCAGGTGCATACCTGAAAACAGGCTGGCTGGTAGACACTGCACTGAAGTCACCATATCCCTGTGCCTGCCAGAATCAGGTACCTTAAAGCTGCAAATCCATGCAGATGTACTCTGAGAGATTTATTCCCAGAGAAAGCTAACACATTGAGCTAGTGTTTAGTATGTTCTTTTAAAAGAGGTTGGGAAGAGTACCAAAAGTATAATTACACTAGCAAGAGTTGGAGAGCTAATTAATCACACATTGACAAGATCTCTTGTGCTGAGACATTTCACAGAGAACATTGGGAGTGCCTTAAGTAACTTCCTCAGGTACATGCTTATTGAGTGAAGAATAAATTAGTAGGAAATTGGCTGGACAGAAAGGAAACCTTGGAACGGAGTTGGAGGTTGGACCAAGCCCAGTGAGACTGGGATTTTTCTTTATCTTTAGAAAAAATGAATTAGCTATTGGTATACCCTTAAGATCATTTGCAGCATGACAGGAGTGAAAATGCTCTTGAGGATGCTTTTTTCATAACCGTGCCTCCAAAATTAGATATCTAAATAACAATTTGACTTTCAAAGATAGTCAGCATTTGATAGCAATCTTTGATTTCTTGCCAGGAAGGGACTGATTCCACTAACACTCAACTATTGCTACACAAGTATATCCATTAAATTCAAAGGAATTCAGTGGATATACTCGTGAACATCTTCACATATATGATATTTGGAACATATTCATGTCAAAGTTCCTCAATTTTCACAGGGTTTATAATGTGGGGTTTGGCTTTTATTTAATTCTTTACATGAAGTTGTTTCTGAAAATCTCTCCTGCGTGTAGGCCTGATTTTATTCCTTATGTATCTGTTTTGTATAACTTTAAGAAATTATGCTCTTTTAAAAAATAAAACAACAAAAAAAATCTCCTCTCCTTCTTTCATATTACTGAACTTGAAAAAGCCTGAAAATTTGCTGACATTTCTCCAAGGTTTGAGCAGTTTTTCAGGAAAATGCTTAAAATTGATATAAGCATTAGTTTTGCAAAAACTCAGCCAGATGTACTCCTCTGCTAACGGGACTACAAAAAAAAAAATCCTCTGGAAAACCCAGTCAACCCATTTATAAGCCTTGAGCAAGAACACGTCAAAAAGAGTTGCAATTGTGGCTGCAATTATGGAATAAAGCCTATTGCGACTCCTGGCAGGACTTTACACCCTCTCTCCACCAGATAGTGCTGTTTCTCCACAGAGCTATTGAGGATGCACAGGCCAGGGAAAGGTCAGGGGCTGTCTCGAGGTAACAGGCTGCCTGCGGCTTGCTCGTCCCTCCCTGTCGCGGCCACTGCCACTCTACCTGAAATAGGGCAGGCGCGTCTGGGAGAGGTTTGCGGGAGTAAAAGCGTGCCTTGGGAGGGTGCTGTGTGCAGGTGACTGCGTGCTTGTGTTGCCACTGTTGTTATCCGTTATCAGTTTGATGTAATCTCTTTCCTAAAGTAAGAATGCAAATAGAAGTTGATGCAATTAGTCCGTGCTTTTATGATCTCTCAGGAGTCTCTTCCTTACAGCTTTACTGTAACAGTACAGTTGTCTGTCAAGTTAGAGGTTGGACCGAAGCAACACTAAAGAAAATCCAACTCCAACACGCAGATGCTCCCACAGTTGAGCGGCACAAGTCGGGAGCAACCCGATGCAAAGGCTGTTTGGTCTCAAGAGTGCTGAGCAGGGGGGTTTCTACCAGCAAAAGTTACTTCTGAGGAGCAGATAGATCTCCTTAACCAGTACTGAATCTAGGTACCCTGTAGGCACTCTGCGTCCTTTAAAAAAAAATACAGCTGGGAAAAATACCTAAAATGTAATTAAACTACAGGCCATGGTTTACTATTCTGCTGTAGCCTTTGTAACAGAGCACAGAAATGCATCTGGAATGCTTCTTACTGCCTTTCTGCCAGAGAAATACTGCATGTGCTGTATCTTCCTCTCTTGGCCTCCCTGTGAAAAAGAGAAGGAATAGCATTTGCTCTTCAACTCTTAAAGAACAAAATCCTTCCAAATGCATAGCAAGAGAACAGAAAAACCCCAAGCAAACAAATATTTTAAAACCTTTCAAGTGAAAAATGGTACGTACAGTTGCAATGTTTTTTGCTGTCTGTTACTTAGATATTTTGAGACAATTGAGCCAATATTTTAGATGAACTCTGCAGGAAGCATTGTAATGTTGCTCTGTGTACCTGAGTTACTGGATTTTAAGAATACTATTCCAGGGTCCTTCAGTTGAGAACTCCTAAATGACATAAGTTCAGTCTTGACATAGACATGCTTTCCCGCAGAATAATTAAAAAAAAAAATCTAAAAAGAAATTAAAACAGTACAAGGTATTTGTATTTTCCTAAGCAATGTAAGGCTGGAGCTGTTTGATC